TCCAGACTATATAGAGAACAAGAGAGTTTTTAGAGGTTTTATTATGACATCTATAGTCAGCACACTTTAATGTATAGGAACATCTAGCTTTGATTGATGAAAAGCCAAATTTTTTTTTCGACGATACATGGGGGTTACCTCAGGGTCCAAAATTGATGATGTCATTTTTTTCAAAATAAACCTGAAATAAATAATCAGGAGTCACCCCATATTCAAACTTAATAGAAACAAATTAGTCCTGAAGCAGTTTAAAAGATTTGGTCTTATCCGCCCTCCTCCTTTATGTTATAATTAAAAAAAGGACTTAGCTTTAGCTTATTTAATTTTTCATGTATTTTCAAATTTAGAGCGAGCACTTCGATCTTCGATTATATTCGAACTCGATTTAGACTACACATTATTTAGTATCCGAGAAAACTGAACTGGTCCCAAACGAAGCAATTATTGATTGGGACTCTTATGACATTGCATTGCGAAGAAACATTCGAGTATACTTATTTTTTTTATTTCAAAGCTTCGTATCTTTTTCTAAAGTACCTTTAAAATTTTCCCTCTATGAAATATTTAAAATATTAATATGTTATAATGAATATATAATTGATTCAGTTTGTCACTTCACAAAATTTTGCACTGTAGTCAGCTTAAACATATAATATGACGTCCTATTTTCGAAATTGATAAAGCCAATTTTCTCTTGTCTATTTCTTTAATCAGTTGATTCATATATCAATTCTCTTGAGAAAAGATGCTTTCCTGGTTTCGACAAAACAATTTGTCTGTTGTTAACCAAAAGCAACGGTTGTTTGGTTCAGCAGAAAATGCTCTGATGCAGACGTCGCTACATCATCAAGGATACACGAAAGTTGGTGAAGTCTTACATCTTTGTGGACCTCGCATTTCTCTTGAAAGATTATCTGCGGCCATATGTCTCCTCCAGCGCCGTCATCCTATTCTACGAAGTCGTCTTCAAATCAATTCTGAAAAGCCAGATAGCTATCTACTACAAGAAGATGATACGCTTCAACTTCAGATACGAGAAATACCACGAAAGCGGACCGATCATCTGGTATTCTGGCGTCAAGAATGGAGTGATCGAGAAAAAATAATAACCGATATTGGTCAAGGACTTGCTGAATTTTGGCTTCTACAGGTATACTAGAGTTGATACAGTTTTTTCAAACTCTGTTTTGTACTATTGATAGCAATACTAGATAGATGATATCACTATTTATTGCTCTTGTAGGATCCAGAGGATGACAACGATGACAATAGTCCACGGGAAGTAGTAGTCATATGTGAGCATAGTGTTTGTGATGGATTATCCTTGAGTAATGTGGCACATGAGCTCCTCACAGCCTTAACTGGTGAGAATGACAACATGTTTACTAATTCATTGGATTGGCCAGTAACTATGGAGACAGCGATTCAAAGAAGTCTCTCCATTGTTGGCAAACTGCTTACATTTGGCAGATTTATCCTCGCAGCTTTATACTTGCGCGCAAGCAATACATGGAGCATTGCAAGAATACCCATAGCCAATGTCGACTTTCTATTAACTGATATGTGCGATTACTGTCATACTGAAAGCTGTTATAGTACGTTGAACAAGGAAGAAACGCAAAAACTTGTAGAAAAATGTCGTCACAAAGGTGTAACTGTAACATCTGCTGTTAGCAGTGCTATTCTATATGCTGCTTCTATGCACATAAAATCTGAAGATGATCATCCATCTGCATTACGCATATCTATTGGAGCGGATACTCGTAGACGATGTGCACCGCCCATTTCTAACCACGATCTTAGTTATCAAGTATCAGGTATTCTTCCGTTCATAATACCTACAAGAGATATGCCAACGACCTCTGAAGGCATGTGGCAACTGGCAAAAACATTCGGAGACTTTGTGAAGACGTCAGTTGACGCTGGTCAAATTCTTGCTCTTGGCATGATCATGGGAAAAATCTTCCAAAAGACTTTAGGTGCACCCAATTTTTCCGAACTTCCTACTTGTGGAATCTCTAGTTGGGGTATTTTACCATTTTCGCAAGACTATGGAAGATGGAAACTTGTGGCAATGACTCCTTTTGTTAACATGATTCAAGCAGCTATGCCGTTCGCTACATTACAAACTGTTAATGGAGTCTTGACAATTATGTACGTTGGAGCTAGTCCTCTCATTTCAATAGGCATCTTGGAAAATTTGCGTGATGACACGATGCATAAATTGCATCAAATGATTGAAGATTGAGAATGTTGGTTATTTTTTTCCTCAACGAAGATGTGTTAAATTATTATCTTGAAGTCCCAAAAATATTATTTCAATTTTATTTAACTGAAAATCCTCATTGAACTCCGTTTATTACTTACAATCTTACTTTCTACTTTATAACAATTAATTTATTTATAGCTAAGGCCTCTTACAATTTAAAGTTATTCTATTTGGATAGAAACCATTGTTCTGATTGCAAATATGAGAGTGAATTTGTTTCTCTTTATCAATATGGATTGTTTTTAATTTTTGTCATGAAACTTCAGTAAAAGTGAACATTCTCTTACGACGCTTTGCATTGATGATGTAACTGTCCTCTTAAATATCTATCTATCTATCTATCTTCTGCAATGTGTGAATATTTTCGAGTGTTCATTTCAAATCAAAATAAAAAGATAATTTGTTTTCAAAGCTATTGAAAAATGAAAAGGATTCGAAGCACTTCTGCAAGCCTTGACAATCATCTTGTAACTAATGTCTATCAAAGAATGCCAAAAACCATCAATATCGAATGGGATCATCTTGCTACAAATAATTTGTTTTCTCCTGTTTAGTGAAATCAAATTTAATACGAATGCAACAACGAGATTTTTTTTTCAGGATACAAAGTTCAATGTACCCTTTCTTATTAGACTATTTTCCGCTTGAGATTCGATGTGGAGTGTGGGTATGGATCACGGCTTCTCTCCTGTCCACACCCACACTCACGGTAGACCAATGTTTTTACAAATATACTGATGACTGATCAGTTTATTTATTCAACTTAACTTTCTAGTGAACTTATACCAATTGCTAGTTTTATTATCAATTCAGTTAAATTTCAATAATTGTCTGAAAATGTTTAACACATAGTTTTTCATAAAAAGTTACAATACTATAAGAAAATCAATCGTTACAAATTCAAGTCGGTTCTATAATGGTATAAATGAATGCATCGCACACTACGGATCTCGACTTCCAAATGTTAAATAGAAATGGACGTGGGTGCGGGTATAGGTGTGAGTGTTAGTGTGAATATCAATCTTGTATTCCTTCACACCACCCACATCTACAGTCTCTTTCTTGCCTAATTGTAATGAAACTGGTATTTTTATTTGATGAATAAGACGAATTGGTAATCGTTCCATAAGATATGTAGTAAGTGATGTATCCGCACAACGATTCCGTCCTGCTTGGAAATCAAATAGTGAGTTGGTTGATTGAGCTAATACCCAATCAAGTATATCCGATGTCAAATAAGTTTGAAGAAGATCAGCAACTGGATTTATTAAGATCGTAATTGCATATTCATCTGAATACTCTCCAAAAATGTGACCGATTGTTATACTTGCATATGATTCAATTACAAGTACAACTGATCGACTTGGTCCAGTATATTAAAGACAACGTCGAATAGCTTCACGAGATTTTTGTACATCAATTTTTGATATATTACTCAATAATTTATCGATTGAATCTACAATAATAAGAGTATAATATTTAGTTTTATACCGATTTTCATTCCTTCACTTTGTTCAAAACCAGTTCAACCTCGATAATTGAAAAGAAGAATATCAAAATCTGATGAAATATAGGCCATGATATTCAGAACATAAGTCACTAAAATGATATATTAATCACCAATTTATTATGTGAAAACATCATTGAGAACTCGAGTGAAACACTATAATTTGGTCCATCATGACTGCATATCACCAACGGTCGTTTGGATTGAGTATCACGTACATGAACATGAATTGATTCAACAGGAATTATTTCATTATTAGGAAAGAATCGATCTGGTTTATGATAATCAACAACCTTTCCTGCAATATGATGACCGAAAATAGAAAGACTATGTATAGATGTAGTAACATCCAATGGTGAATCAAGAGAAATGATTTTTTTTGTTCAAGTAAATTATAAATTTATATGTAACATTCCGTGAACCAGATATAAAACGAAGAAAAAGATAACGTCAATCAGAATAATAACATCAAAAGGAAATGTGCAAATAAAGACCTTTAAATTAAGTATTCCATTCGACTGTAAATGATTTATCTACTCGAGGGTGGGGTGGGTGTGGGTGGGTGTGGGTGTGGGTGTGCGTGTGGGGGGGGGGGGGGGGGGGG